ACTGGAAAGCGACCGTTTCCTGGAAGAAAGATGTTTGTCATTTGTTTAGTGACGTGTTTTTTGATGTTTTTGGGACGGTTATATAAATTCTTTGGATTGCTTGTTTTCTTTTTCTTTTTCCACACCTCAGGTTCCACAGAACGAGAGGCCGGCAATGAGGCTACTCATGGACGATCCACGAATGGTGACACCCACAGGAGCACACGCCCAGAGACCGCCAAAGACGCAAACCAAAGCCCGCCGGATAATATTTCAATATATTTCAGGATACTTTGATATTTTACTATTTTTTGTACTATTTTGTTTTTGGGCTCATGGGTTCATTGTGGCTAGATTTAGATGGTAGTAGTTCTGTAAATGTTGCGTGTTTTTTAATCTTTGAATATAATGAATCAGGAGCCTAGTAAGGGCTCCTGTACCCTACAATTTTTTTGTACACCACTAATGTCATCACCTGAGGTTCCGCAGAAGCAGGTGCCTACAAAGGGGCTACTGATGGGCAAGCCAGGAATGCTGATGCCATGCAGAGCACACCAAAAACCATAACGGCTGCAGAGAAGAGCACCTTTGTAGCAGGATTGTTTATGCTTTCTATGTTTATTTTGTTCAAGCAAGCTTTTGTTTTTTTGTTTAATATGTTTCTTTTCATGTGACCATAATTAATCAGGAGCCTAGTGAGGACTCCTGTACCCTCTTGAAAGGGATGGCACGCAAGAAAGATTGAGAGGACCTTTTAGGAATGTGTGATCATGTGTGATCCATAAATATTAATCAGAAGGGATTCAGGACTCAAGTACCCTCTGATTAATTAGCTTAGCAGAGGTTTTAACGTGTTTCAACAGTTTTCCGATGTTTTCCGTTGCTGTAGCAAACATCAAACAACTTAGGTTTGGCTATTCCTGAGTGCTTGCATGCCATTGAAAACAGTGAGCTCTTCAGTGTGGTGAGGCTGCCGCATTTAGCCACTCGCGTGAAGATGTGCATGGGCCGTTTCATTTTTGTTTTGCAGCTTCATTTAGCCATTCTTAATCATGTTCAGAAACATATTTTTGTTTCTGTGGTCAATTCAGGTCTACCTGGAGTCCACAGAGAACATGGCTCACATGGAATTCGATCCGCTACAGTTGTACCAAATGGATTGGAGCGCTCAGAGCCTTTTTGGGAAGGCCTTTGTGGAAGAGGCTTCTGCTATTTGGTGCTTCTGGGAGAGCTTCAAAGGTGAGCATGGAGATGATGTGGGCCCTGGCAACGCAATTGATGCTTTCCGCTGGATGCTGCCAGCCCAGCAATTCTGCTG